AGTAGTTTTTGAGTTATAAGTATTTAAAGTTTAGACAAGCGGAGTAGTGGACAAAYATTTTGCGGGGTAACCCCGTACCACTCCACTCTGCCAATCTAAACTTTAAATATTTATAACTCATAAACTACTCGTCCTAAATTCGATTTTTATGAATCAAAATACTTAGAACAATATTCTGCTTTGGAATATGAAATTAAAACTCATTTTTGTTAGAAAAGTGGCATCAAACACAAAAATAAAAACAGTTCATTGTTAATAAGGTGGAATTTAAGCTTGTATAAAATAATTTTAATGTCCCCCACAACACAACTAAGTCAAATACGCCACTGCTGTAATAGTATTTAAAACTTACTGGTTTTTGAGAATCAGAAAAAACTGAATTGATAAGTGAGCATAAAAAACACACAAATATCCAATTCATTTTTGGATGTTTTACAGCTGAATGAACAAATTAGTTTTATTATTTGATACTTGAAAAGAAAGTTTGAGCGTAAATTATAAAACATAAATTACTCCAGTCTCCAAGTTGCAGCTTAATTATTTTCTTATACAGTTAATTAGTAAAGAATTTTGATTATAATATCCAAACAATATGAATGTCAGTGATAGGCGATATTATATTTAATAATAAATATGGTCGTTGGACGTTGAACTGCTTTTATCTCTTGTCGAACTACCTACCGGACTAAAAATAAAATAATAAATAATATACCAAATGGTTGTTATCTTTTTTTTTTAAAGTCATTATTTGATAATTAAAGTACAAAACCGACACGTATTAAACGATAATACCTAATGTATTATAGCCTTATAGGTATTTTACCTGTGGGCTGTGATATAATACCTATTTTAATGATATTGTATTACTGGCTTACTGCCAATAAAAATATCAAAATAATAAATAATACAGACAAAAATCAATTAAAACTTGTAATCTGTATTCTAAAGACAATTTTTATTTCATACGACTTATACGAGTGCATATTGCATATACAATAGTATTCTTATATATTTATACTTCGGATTTCGGAGTTTCGGAGTACCTAGGGCGAATCGCAAATAGCCATACAATTTAAATACATACCTATTGTTGCACACTGTATATTGTACAACAAATGTGTAAATAAATTAAACGTTAAACCCTTTATGACAAGTGGGTACAAGTAGATCTAATTTAATTTAATATAAACTATTATAAAGCATTTATGTAAACATACGAGTAAGTAGGTATACGAGTATAGCCAGGGGCAGACTGGCAGATCGGGAAATTTCCAGATGGGCCGGTCGAATAAACGAATTATGGCCATTATGGGGCCGGACAATTTGGTAGTACAAGTAACTTATTACAATTTTTAGATTTATCAGTTTTCGGTAAATTTTTAATCTATAGAAAATAACATAAACAATATATGTTAATACGATAATAATCATACATAAAATTATATTTTGCTTTTCTAAGAAAYATACGGGGAACAGTTAGTAGGTATTTATATAAATAGGAATTACGCTGCCGTCTGCCGGCCGCCGTCGCCGTGTTGTTTATTATAATATTATATGATGTATTATTATTGTTATATTATTTAAAAATATACTGTTTTCGTCCACGACTTACAACACTGTCGTCTGTGATATTATATAAAATATAAATATTAGTTAATTTGTATTTTGTATTGTCAAGTGGAAAGATTACTTTCGAAGCAATATTTACGATCATAATCTCAGCTTTTTAAAGGTTAGTGAAATAAATTTTTAAATAATATATTATTATAATTTATTCTAAAGAAAGTAAAGTTATTGTTATAAGGCCTATATATTTTAACCTATTTTCAATTATTATTAAAAATTGGTTAAATGGTTTGAAATATAATAGAATGGCCTATCCGCGGCTATCCCCTATTAGCTATTTGAATTTTGAATCCCACCGTGTGTTGTTTCCATAAATACATTTTCCTTATTTCCTGAATAATGTTTTGTCGTTTTTAAATTGAATTATTCTTAATTCATATTGTTACGTTTCTCTAATACCTCATTTACATTCAGCCATTGCCGCTGCTTATCGCACTGCTGTATTTAATGTCCAAAATACTTCAGCG